ACGTGCTAGTATTAAGACCACCTTCTGCGAGCCGCACTGTGCCCAGTGGTCAGGCTGGAAGCTTCTAATGCCCTGACGCTAGCGGCTAAATGCAAAAATCCAAAGGCAAGGGGACAGTCGCAGTACCCCAGGACCCCCCGTCCCTCGTGGAAGATAAGGTGGCTGGGCTGCCAGAGGCTCACTCCTGCGGGCTCGGCCAGACTCCCGGCCCGAGTCCTCGAGAGTGGGCTATGAGGCCCAGGAGGAGGCTGGTCCCAGCCCCAACCTCACCTGGAGGCTGCGGAGCCTAAGGGCTTCAAAGGGCCACCGGCCCTGGGGCTGGGGACAGACAACCCTGGTTCCATCTCTCTCTTTCCCTGGCTCCACTCTCACCCCTGGAGGCGGGGGTCTGCACTCTCCGCCTATAGCAGTAGGCACCAGATCAGGCCCCTGCCTGACCTTGAAGCCTTGTGTCCTTGGCCGCAAGCCCACTGGATCTGCTGGACGTTCCCTTGACTCCGGCACATTCTGCAGGGCCCTCCCGCCTCTCTCCTGACTCTCTCTTCCCTAAAGAATACAGCACACTTTGTCATCTTTAATATGGCTTCCTGGTTTAAAAAATTTCAAGCAGAGCCAAGGGTAAATGGTGGAAACAAGGTCTCCCCACCCCCAGTTCCCATGTGCAGAGACCACCACCAGGACCAGACAGCATAGAGGAGTCAGAGGGGCTGTGGGTTCACTTTGAATATCAAAGAGATGGCTCTGCGCCAGTCCAGGATGTTGGTGCCCCATGCCCAAGGCTGCAGAGGGTCCAGCCTCACTCAGGGGTGGCCTTGCGTGGACACAGGTCCAGGCTGTCTCTAGCTTTGCGGTGAGGAGCAATGCAGTGATGCGAAATCATGGCTGCCCTTGGTGGCATGCACGTGGCTATTCCCAAGGGAGGGATCCCAGCAGGGATGCAGGGCTGGCCGGACACCTGCCTTTGTGAGGCTGATGGGCAATGTCCCCACCCAAACTGCACATCCCATTTGGAGATGTAACCTGGGGGTGCCTGTCTCTCTACCCCTCCCCTCCTGACCCTTTTTGAGACTTCCTAGTCTCCCTGTAGGGGAAGACTGCTACCTCCAGGGAGCACGCACTTGCTTTTCTCTGATTATGGGTGAAATTCAGCATCTTTCAACAAATAGCTATTCCCGTTTCCTTTTGCACACATCCAGGCTGCTTGACGGACTTTCTACGAGATCGGCAGCTTTTTTTTTTTTTTTTTTTATTGAGTGGATCCATATTTGACTCTGCCAAAAGGGGGAATGAAGGGGAGCCTGGAAGACAGGAGAGAGACAGAGAAAGAGCATGAGAGGGGGGAGGGTCAGAGGGAGAAGCAGGCTCCCCGCTGAGCAGGGAGCCCGATGTGGGACTCGATCCCAGGACTCCGGGATCCTGACCTGAGCCGAAGGCAGTCGCTTAACCAACTGAGCCACCCAGGTGCCCTTGATATTGCCTATTTGATGAAAAATTATACTCATACTTTCCTT